TGTCCAAGATAGGATCAGGTAAGCAAGGGTAGCAGATAAGACTTAAGACTATTATAAAACTACACCCCAAAAGAGTTCATAGTTGTGTTTTCATATATTTTTATCAAGAGATATCAAACGACTTGATGTAAGTCATTCTGAAAACCAAAACCAGAACCTACAGGGTAGGAAGAGACAATGGTAGATCTCTACAGAAAACATGTCCTATTTCATGATACCTTTCCTGATGCCAGCAATAAGGAGTTGTGGGGTAGCCTTAGTTTAACCATCTGAGCTTTCAGCTTTGACCAAGACTTTCACTTGGGAGAAGACAAGACTCCCACCATACACACTGAGAGCCCCTATGCTTTTACAACATTCCCTCTCTATGGGGCTCTCTACAGGGAAAGAGGATCGCTAGCCGCAGAAGGAAAAGAAGAAGTCTTAGCTCTCTTTGAAGCTATCTGGTTAACCCAAGAGGGTGGTCATCGTCCATTGCAAAGGATACCAAAAAGGGGGCCCCCAGAAGTCAGAGGCGACAGAGTCGCTGACTTGGCCACAAGGGAAGTAGTCCTCAAACAAATGGAGCTTCCTCAAGTCTTGATGGCCCTACTAGAGCCCAGTGTACCAGGTCACCCACAATATACCCCTGGGTACAACTGACTGGGTGAGACAAGAACTAGCCACACAGGAGAGGCAAGGATGGCAAACGCAGCCAGTGGTAGACCCTTCCTTCCCACAAGTCTGGGTCACCGATCTCTACCAAGCCATGCACCTAGGGACCACAAAATGACTGAACCCCTCAGATACAGGTATTATGTTAGAAATTTAGAGATTCTGATTAAAGATATCACTTTTAAATGTGCCACCTGTGTGCAGGTAAAACCCAAAACGGGGAGAATGACATCACAAGGGACCCAGGCTCAAGGAAGTGGGCTGGGGGACACTGGGAGATGAACTCTATGGAAACAGACCTACTGTTTCTTCCTGTAAACATTTGCCGGTATTTGAAGATGCCTTCTCAGGGCGGCTACCCACCCCACAAGAGACTGCTCCAATATTTCAAAGAAACGTCTTCACGAAATAATTCCTCAGTTTGGATCGTCCCTAGATTTGGAGTCAGACTATAGCCAGACCTTCACAGCAAAGGTGTCTCAAAATCTGACAAAAGCATTCAATATTAATTAGGAACTACACTGTTTCTGTACTCACAGAGCTGAGGTCAGACAGAAAAAAAGGAGACTGACCAAATTAGTCCTGAAAACTGGTGACACCCTGGGCCAACCTCCTCCCCTTTGCCCTTTCCAGGGCCTGATATATTCCCTACTGGGAGGGGCTTGCTCCCTTTGAAGTTACATTCAGAAGACCACCTGTGCAGGATCCCCCAGGAAGAAATGTCTAGTCACTCCCTTCTCAAGTCTTTACAGACTTTGCAGAAAGTTGACCAGGCCATTGACCAGACTGAGATGGGAATCCTGCCATCTTCCACTTCAGAAACTACCCATGAGTTCCAGCCAAGAGGCTTGGTTTGGACAAAGAAAATCCTCACCTTGGTCCTGGATGTTACCTGGAAGGGACCTTACCCAGCTATCCTCATTGACTAGAGTTTAGAGTTTACTAACCTGGGATATGCAGTCTCCATCAGCCCCAAACATGGACATGGGAACTCAGAAAAAACTGGGGATGGGAAACTATCTTTCAGGTGGACCTCTGCTCCAGCCTTCCAGAGATGGAACAATTTGGGTCTAGGGGAGGGATGGGGGAGTCAGTAAATCAGGCTATGGAGGAAAGTGGTCAGAAAGAGGCCTTCAGGGATTAGAATTTTATGAAAGCTCTATCAGTCCACAAATTACCTGGCTTGCTTGTACTAATGGTTCAACTAAATGCGCCTCTCCGGGCTCACTGGAAAGCCACACCCCTGACTGTGTTCTCTGGTCTGTGTCATCCTCCAGGGATATGCCTATAACGGAGAAGATGGGGGAGCTCATACTGACCTTGATTCAATATTTAAAAGTCAAATGGGCGCCAAGTCTGGCCCCAATCCTAGTTTGGACAGAAACAGCCAATGCAGCTACCATAGGCACCTCGCCTTGGTTTCTGGGAACTGAAACTTTAGAGAATTTAGTTCCCAGATAGACTTAGACCTGGCCATTTGGAAAATTTTCTTCCCAGGCTGGAGAGCCATGTTGACTCCCTCGCAGAGAGAGTTGACTCCACACAACTGAAGGAAATCAGACCTCTGTTTTTGAAACAGGGAGGACTTTGCATGGCATAAGGGGAAACTTGCAGTTTCTATGCCAACCAAACAGGATACTTAGGGGAAATCTTGTCATGGTCAGGGAAACCTCAAAGAAAGGGGAGAAAAGAGACCTAGATCAGATAATTGGTATTGGTCTCTGCTAACCTAGTCCCCATGGATGACCACCTTAATGTCAGCATTAGCCTGGCTGTTGATTCTTATTAAAATCAGGTTAAAGATGAAACCCTGCATCCTCAACTGTATGGCCATCTACACCAAACAGAATAAACTCAGTTAAGCTACTCGTCCTTAGGACCAACTATGCATTCCCTCAAAAACGAAAACAGGTGAATCAATGATTTGATTCATTCCCATAGAACGAGGGGGAAATGTGGTAGGGCAAGACAGTTCAGAGGTTCCTCCATTTTGTATTCTTGCTGAGAACATTTCAGATTTAACTAAAATCTGATCTCCTTCATGGAGAATACCATAGAAAATTATCCCCTTTCACCTAACTGCTTATCTTAGCTTCTGTTAAACTGCTTGCTTGCACAAAACTTCCCCCTGAAACTGCTGAGTGAGATACCAAGATGTGATTTTCACCTTAAAAAAAAAAAAAAAACAACCCTTACCCTAAATACTTGGTGCTACTTGGTGCTACACTTGGATCCCAAATACCTGAGTATAGTTCCAGTCAGCTGGAATAAAGACTTTCAATTGATGATAGACTGTGTCTACATGGTCATCTCCGGTGGGCTCCCCAAAACAACATGACTTGGGCTAGGGATGACATCAGACTGAGAAAGATGCTATGGCACAGCCTTGGGATCTGTCTACAAGGATTTCCAGTTAAACTCCTCTACCCCATTCTTTCCAGATGCTTCCCTTTTCCCCTTGTGACCAGAACCCATTACCAAGCCTGGTCAGGAAGAGTCTGCAGTCTACAAACTGAGATAACTGTGTCTGTCTTCATCTCCCCACACACTGGATTAGTGAACCTGGGTGATATAAGAAAGTAGTCATGATGAGCAAGCCAGCAAGCAACCTGTAGGTGGAGGCTGCTTGTTCATTTCTTAAATACCCAGACCGGAAATAACCACACAGAAACTATATTAATTACAACACTGCTTGGCCAGGAGCTTAGGTGTATTCCTACCTAGCTCTTACATCTTAAATTAACCCATTTCTATTAATCTGTGTATCATCATGAAGCTGTGGCTTACCAGAAAGGTTCCAGTAGCATCCTTCTCCTTCGACAGTTACATGGCATCTCCCTGACTTCACCTACTCCCTCTCTCTCTCTATATATATATATATATGTCTGTTCAGATTTTCCACCTGGCTTTATTCTGATCTGCCATTAGGCCAAAGAAGCTTCTTTATTAACCAATGGTAGTAAAACATATTCACAGCGTACAGAGGGGAACCCCACATCATTCTATCACAAAAATAGAAGCCCTAACTAAGACAGGAGATGCAAACTGGGGGACATGATTAGGAAAGGGTGTGCTGGTATGTGAAGATCTGTCTCCTGACTTTTCCTACACCTGGGGATAGCCCAATCTTCACGGCTTCTTACATGGCTCCAGAAGACACCCTCTGGCCTCTTAGCCAACCTGAACCTGATCCTCAAAGCTACATCTTAGAATTTTCTTCTCATCTTTTGGAGTTATTGTCACAGTTTGTAATTGCCTGTGTATTTGTCTGATTGATTGAAACTTCCCTCCCCACAGGAACACAAACCCTCTAAGGACAGGCTCTCACCATTTTGTTCACTACTCTCTTTTCAGCATGTAACATGGTGCCAGATACATAGTTAAAGATTGTTTAAAAATTCATTAAGGAGGCAAGGAGATGACTCAGTAAGTGAGGGCACCTGCTGCCATGCGTGACAGGGACCCACATAGTGGAAGAGAGAACTATAATGCTTGTGAATTGTCCTCTGAACTTCACAAACACATGCAAATAAATCCTAAATTAATAGATAAAATGCTTTGAAGATTTTTTTTAAAAAAAAAACAACCTTAAGGAAAGTCATGAATGAATGAATTTTAGAATACATATGACAAATTCCAGATACTAGCCAGAGATACCAGACTAAAATCTATCTCTAGCAGAGGAAATAACCAACGCTAACAAGGAATTTCAGAGCCTGGATGGAAAGGCCATAGTTCAGATATCTCCAGCCCCTGTGGAAGAACTGAACTAATGAAGGAGATCATGTTAAAGGACTTTATAGGTGATTCCAGATTTCAGGAGCCAATCTCAGACCTAGACCGTATATTTGAGAGGCATGGAAATCCTGATACAGTACCAGGGTTAACTAGTACTGTCTGGGGACCTGGACAGAAAATGGAAGGCAAACAGCTTTAGGAGCCACAGCAGAGCACAGCATGGGTGTGGACAAATATTTGAACCAGAAAAATATAGCTATCTTCTGCAAGAAAGAGAAGATGGTGTTTGAAATCCATAGAACACCCAAGTTCATGGGGATGGTTTCTTTGCAATATTCATGACTTCATTTATTTTTTATATCATTTGAGTAAATCTAGAAAAGCAAATATAGGAAGTGAAGAGATGGTTCAGCAGTTAAAAGTGCCTGCTGGTCCTACAGTGGATCTGAATTTGGTTCTGAGCACCCAAGTAGGGTGGCTCAAAACTGCCTGTTATTATGAGGGGATCTGATTGATGCTCTTGTCTGGCCTTGGCAGACTTCTCACTCACAATTGCACATGCACACACAATAAAATAAAAAATAAAATTAATAAGGAAAAGCAAGTACTTGTTTTGCACTGTTCCCTCTGGTCTGCTTGCATCGGTCTCAGTAGCAGATGCCAGTGATGATCAAGGCTATTGGTGCTAAATGTTGTTTCCAGGGCAGAGCAACAGGTTGATGCTCTCATCACAGCCTCGTAACTACACATTCTCTCGCCATGAAGAAACTCCTGTCATGAAAAAGTAATGGCCAATGAAAGACAGTTTTGCAAATTTACAGAGTTGCTGTGGTCATGTTGTCTCTTCACAGCAATAGAAACCCTGAGACACTCCCCTATTCTCTGAACTTCTACCCACACATATATTAGACTTATGTCCCATATGTTCCTTTTTATCCATTCAATTCTTTCAATTTTTCTTTTCTTAAGTTTATTTTTACTTATATGTGTGCCTGCTTGTGTGTATGTACACTGCAAGCATGCAGGACCTGTAATGGTAGAAGAAAGAGTCAGATTCTCTGGAACTGAAGTCACACATAGTTGTGAGCCCTTGATGTAAGTGCTGGGATCTGAACTCAGGTCCTCTGAAAGAATAGCAAGTGCTCTTAATTGCTTAGCCACCTCTCCAGCTCCTCTTTAAAACATGTATGTATGTATGTATGTATTTGTTATGTGTGTGGAGAGGTGATGATATAGTGTATGCAGAAGTCTGAAGACAACCTGTGGGAATCAGTTCACTCTTTCTACCACGTGGGTCCCAGCAACTAAATACAGGCCATCAGCCCTGATGATAGGTATCTTCACCCACTGACCCATCCTTCTAGCCCTTAACTTTCTGTTTCTTTCTGTGGCTTAGTATGGCAATTTTCTTTGAGGCAATTGTTGAATATATTCACATTGTCTTCTGCTTCACATTAAGTAGGAAGAGGTATTATTGATCATCTGAATCTAGTTCAAAATCAAGCAAACTTGGTGGCACTAACAAAATACATTTTAGTCAAATTCCGTTTCCCTCCCTTTGGAATTCTGAGTGGTGGCTGCGTGTTTGCTGTGGGAACTTCCATCTAGATGATTTCCCAAGCACTTTGAGGCCGTGGGGCATTCGGATCTGCTTTTCCAGCCTGCCTTCTCAGTCTCATCCTCCACCAAACCTCATTCCTCTGCAAAAGTCCTTTCAGGTGATTGGCTGAGGCATCTAGGACACATCTGGCCGACTCTCTCTGTAGGATTGTCTTTCCCCAGTAAAGCCCCTCAGTCTAAGCCAAGTCTGACTGATCCATGGTTACAGTTGTATCCAGGAAAGATAATGACCAACAGTCTTGGCATCTGACTGATCCATGTTTACAATTGTATCCAGGAAAGATAATGATCAGTGTCCTTGGCTTACACACAAAAAGGTTTCCTCCTGGAATTTTAATTTATCTAACAGTTTTCTTTCTCCTTCAGTATCTTTAAAAGTAAAATGTTTGACCAGTGTAGTAAAATATGTCTATGGTGTAATGGTGGCATAAACGTCATGGGGGCAACAACTCTGCTCAGAGTTAAAGCCCACTTCTTAATACCTAGTCTCTGTAAATCTGGCCAAGAGCCCATGGTTTGCAAGTTCATAGGCCCCCGAGGTAAATCTACTACTACAATTTTGCTAGATAGACATAGAATCAAACTGTTCTCTTAATTTTTATCCCCACACTCATAGCTTAGTACACCTCTTAGACCTCATCAGAAAAGTTTCTTTGTGCACTGGAGGGTGATTAATGCAGAAACTCACAACTGGTCAAAGCACAGAGAATAAACACTGTGCAGTGCTCAGCCACAAGTGTGACACTGACCTCTCTATCACACCCACTTAGAAAGACTCAAGGACTATCAAGAAAGAGGGGGGTAGAAAGATTCTACGAGTTGGAGGTTGGAGAAGGGCGGAGCAGGATTGAAGCTGGTCTTCTGGACAGGACCACTGCACTTATGAACTCAGAACTGTGATTGGCTGCACTAGACCAAGCCAGTCAACAATGCAGCGTGGAATATGGAGGGGCTCATAATCTGTTCCTCCCCATAGCTAAGGAAATTTGGACAATGGACAGTTGCTCATGGAGGGAGAGTCCATCTTCTTTAATGATGTTGCCCCTGGTAGACTGGTCACGCTAGTGGATGGCCACATGTTCATAGATATATAGGAAGCACAAATTAGATTCAGTCAGTTGTAAAAAAGAAAGAAGGGTATGAAATGGGGAGGGAATTAGGGGTGTGAGGGATTGATCTGGGAGGAGTTGGGGAAGAAGTAGTCGTGAATATGATCAAAATGCATCACATACATGCACGAAATTCTCAAAGGCTTAATAACAATGTGTTTATAAGTTAAAGCTTTAAGTGAAAATGTTCCTGCTTTATCCTAATTTTGCAGTTACCCAAGCAGAAACAAAAAGTTTGCTGCAAACTGCTCAGAAGTGAGATTCCCAAACAAATTCCAAGAATGTCTTCTGTAGCACAGTCAGGGCTTTGCTGGTTCCCCCATGTCGATCTGAATTCACTGGCACCATTTTCATGTAGCTGACTCTTTCTGCAGAAATTTCCAGAGCGCTGTTGCTTATTGGTCAGCAGTTTTGACCACAGGAAACCCATCTTTCACAGCGTCCACCACTGTGTGTTGTCTTCTGTGACCGCAGGAGCTTCCAGCTGTGGGCAGATTTCACTTCATCTATTCAAATTTTGGATATCTCGCCTTATCAAGATTATGTTTTGTAAAAAGTTTTCACAATATTTTATTTCACTAACTCCAGCTTCAGACACTGTAATTTTGATTTTGCGATCATAAATTTTTAGTGATAATAGTCATTATAAACTCAATGAAAGACTCATGGGATGCTTGTTGTGTTTAATCTCTAAAAAAATCATATACAATTGTCCCCAGATATTCTAGGGACAATTGTTTAGGACAGGATTTATTTTATGTCAATTGGTCTATTCAGTAAGAATTAGGATCTGACCTGTGATGGCTAAACTTGACCATCAACTTGAGAGACCCAGGAATTTGGGGTCCCTATTTAGGAATTGCCTCTATCAGGTTGCCCCATGGGAATATCTGTGGGAAATTTTCTTGATGGCTAATTGACATAGAAGGGTCAGCCTCTGTGAGTAGTGCCATTCATGTTAAGGTGGACGTGCTGTGGGCAATGGCATCCCTGAAAGGGTGGACCTGGAATGATTTGGAGGTAATTAGATATGCACCTGGAAGCAAGCCTGGAAGCAGATTCTTCTATGGCTTCCACTTCAGTTCCTCCTTCCAGGTTCCCTCCTTGGCTTCCCTCGATGACAGACTGCAAACTCTCAGTCAATAAACCCTTCTTTCCCCAAGTTGCTCTTGGTGATGGTGTTCATCACAGCCGCAGAAAACTAACCCAAGTGAGAATCTGCCTGGACCATTTCGAACAAACGTCTCTCCGAGTCTCAGTCTCTGTGGTGATACCTAAGTGTGCAGGGCAAACTGATGAGATGCAAGTGGCGGCTTTGGGCAAGGTTAATGCATCAACATGATGACCGGAAGGTGAAGACCTTGAGAGGCCTACCGGATGTAGGAACCGGAAGATGGTGGTGTCTCCGCCTCTATATTACCTTCCTGTTGGAAAAAGCCTCCTTTTTCTGGTCACAGCTGCTCTGCTCAGAGTCCCAAAGTTTCCTGACCCCCGAGGCTGTTCTGGGCTCTCCTCTACACTTTTACCATTCCGTCTCCATTTCTGACATTAATGCCCTCACCTTCTTTTCGATATTAGTTCTGAACTCAAATTTTTGAGGGAAGTAGGGCCAGCCCACTGTAATCAGAAGCCCAAAGACCACAGTTTAGGAAGTCTTTTTCAGAAATCTATCTGACCTGGAATTGCTCGATGGTGGTCTACACATCCTGGATGAGGATCATTTTCTAAATTCTGTGGCTCTGAGTCTTTCCCTGGATTGTCCTGACCTGTCCACAAAACCATGCGGGAGGAGGCTACCAGGATGACCTGCTGTCTTTGCCCACCGTGTCATGGATACCACCGAAAAGACCAATGATCAGACAAGAATGTGCTCACAACCCCACTCCACGGCTTCTAAATGGAGCCTGGGTGAGCTGCTAAGACCTCTGAGTTTGGGTTTCCTCATATGTAAGACAAGACTCCTTGTAGAGGAAAAAAGAACTTATAAAGAGCCTAGCTCATAAAAAAAAAGAAAGAAAACTACTCCTCCCCTGGAGGTCCCTCTTCTCTGAGACAAGGCTATGGAATCACCTCCATCCATAGAGAAGACATTCAAATAATAGTGTATGGACGGAGCCAGGCAAAACCCGGGAACCGAATGAGAGCCGCCAGCGAGAGCCCTTCTTTTCATTCCCTGCCAAGCCTGATCCTCCCAGAGATGCAGCATGTCTTTGGATAAGTCGGCAACGGCTCGATCCAGATAAAGTCTCTCAGGCAGGCAGCATGTGTATAGTCAAATGCTCACTTCTACTTCAAGTTCCCAGTCCCCTGCTGGTCCTCTCCGCAAACTTAATTAATTAGCTGTGGTGAACATTTGTTCAAGCTCATGCAGCAATGGGAGACCGAAGAAGACAGGCTCTCATAAATTAAAACATTTCAAAATATTGTCTTCTCCCAAGAAAACAGTCTTTTTTTTTTTAAATTAACACTCCATTTGGATAACTTTAAGGTTTCAAAAGAAAACAAACAAGGCAGCTCCGATGAGTGCTGTCTGCCTTTAACCGTTTCCCCCCATTGTCCTACGTCATGGTTCCTCAGCATTGCCAGTCCCTGAGTAGACAGACCACAGATCCCCCACCCACCCTCTTTGTGACGCTCAGGCAAATAGACCAGAAAGCCCTGGCATCAAATTGCTTGCCATGCCTCAGGATCAGGCAGGAAAAGGAGGTGGATGGCTACAGTGAAATCGAGCTGTCCCGGGGCCACTACACACAGGCACCAACAGTGGCTGTGACCTTATGTTTGAGATCTAAGCAAGATCGAGCTAGACAACATCCCAGCATGGATGGAGGAAGAAGTTTGAACTGCTGCCATTGGCTGGGTAGCTATTGGCAACTGACGACTGTTGTGTGCCCACACACATGCACAAATACACAATAAATAAATGCTAAACAATTAAAAGTAACCTCTATAGCAGCACAAAAGGCCTGTCTCAGTTATATACAAATAGTAGCAATAGACACTTATGGAAAGGAATCTCCACTTGCCTTTAGCCATAATGGT